ACCGGCCGGCGCCGGGGGACCGGGGAAGGGGGGGGCGCTCCGCCTGGACCCCGAGCCACGTGCTTCGTGTCCACCGCTCCCCCCCACCCCGCCCCCGGCAGCCGGGCGCGGCGGCGGGGGGCCGAACCGCGGGGGCGCGGTGCTGGGGGCTGGACCCCAGCCTGGCCACCGCAGGGGCTGCCCAGGAGGCGTGGGGTCGGTGGGCGTCCGGCCGCGCAGCCGGGGGCTCCCTGGGGGCCGCCCCCCGAAAGTCTCCCGCTGCCCCCCTCCCGAAGGTTCCCCCACCCCACCCGTGGCGCCGACGCAAGGGCCGGAGCGCAGGTGTCCGGCGAGCCCGGAGCGCCCTCTGCTGGCTGCAGCTCCGGGGACCCGTGCCCACGCGCTGGGCCTCCCCCACCACTCCTGCGGGCCCGCGGGCCCCCTCAAACCTCCCCCACCAGCGCCCAGACTGGTGGCCCAGAACACCCTCTTCCCCTCGCACCCTATCCACCCATCGTCCATCTGTCCAAAGGACGTGTTAAGGCCCGTGATAGGCGATGGGCTGCACTAATGGGACTGAGGTGGGGGTGGGGGAGTCCTTGGCCTCCTGGCACCTGGATCCAAGAGACAGATACTGGAGTGATCGCACAGATACACGAGCCATTAATAGCCATGAACTTCGGGCCCCAGAACAGGGGGTTGCCCTGGGGGTAATGGAGGGGCTCCTGGCAGGGGAGACTGCCTGCAGTAAGTGATCCTTAAGTTGAGAGAGTGGAAGGAGGGGGGCAGGGACTAGGCTGGAGCTGTGGGCAGGGGCTGCGGAAACACCCCCCCACACACACACCTTCCCCTCAGTTCCTAACAAAGCTGTACCCTGACTTAGGGCACCGTCCCTTGTCACACAGCTCCCCAGCCCAAGGCTCTCCCACATGGCCCTGGGCTCTGCGCCCCCCCCCCCCGGGGGGCACCCAGCCCCCTCCCCATGCACAGAATCCTCAGACACAGGAGTGGAGGCAGGTACTGGGTTTAATTGGGACCCGATTCTGGAAGGAGTAGGGCCTGGAGTCCTCTTGGCTCAGTGCTCAGCTGGCATACCAGCAGCTTTCTCCCCAAATCACAGCCTACCCTGGCCTGCGGCCTCTGTTCCCACTCTGGGCACTAGTCCCAGTCCAGGCAGCCTGGGTTCCCTGCTCGTCTTCATCAGAGAGGCTGCTGCCTGGGCTCAGGGCCCCTCCTGTCTCCTGCCAGGAGAGGCCCCCGTTCCTCGCTGGGGTGTCCAGCGGGGCTGTAGGAACCTCCCTTCCTCGTTAGGGCCTGGGTACAAGAAGGCCAGGCCAGGCGCTAGGGTGGCTTCCTGGCCTCCTTCCTCAGCAGGGAGTTGGCCACGGCCAGGGCCCCACCCTGCACGAAACGCACAAAATTGTCCCCTGCCAGCGGCCCCACAGCATACAGGCCCTCTTGGTGGGTGCTCTGGTACGTGAAAGGGTCCACATCGATGGGGTTCCTTTTGGCGCTCAGGGGCTGGTCAGGGTCCATGGCCAGGTTCGCGCCCGCCGCGGGGAGAAAGGAGAGGTCGGGGTGGGAGCCGATGAGCACCAGCACCAGGGCGACTCCGAAGACCTTCTGGAGCCCCCCCGGGGTCCTGCAGCACGGCCTGGCGGTCCTCCTTGAGGAGGACCAGCCGGTGCTCGGGGAGGCTGCGGTAGCCCTCGTAGGGGCCAGGCGACAGGACGGACCGCTCCCGCAGCATCTGGTACACCTTGTGGTACTCAGGGTACAGCATCTTGGGCAGCTGGTTGAAGACCAGGCCGGGGTCGTCCACGGCCCGGCGGAAGGCGTGGATCACGGGGATGTTGTAGTGGCGGGCGTAGAGGACCGCGTCAGCGGCCGACAGCCCCGCGCCCACGATGAGGACGGGGTCCGAGCCTGGGCTCACTGTGCCTGCCCGCGTGGCTGCCTCCAGGGCCGAGAGCTCGTAGTGGACGAAGGGCAGGGCCTCCCCGGGGATGCCCAGCCGGGCCGGGCTGTCCGACGAGCCTGTGGCCAGCACCACGTTGCGGGCGCACAGGGAGAAAGGCTGCTGGCTCCGGTCCTCGGTGGTCAGGAAGCCGCTCACCTGGAAGAGGGGGCCGGGCTCCCGGACCCCGGAGCCGCTGGGCTCAGGTGTCCCCCACTCCACAGCTGTGACTACGGCACCCGACACGAAGTTGTGGCTCAGGCCCTTCTTGGTCACGTAGTCCCTGTAGTAGTGAGCGATGTCCCCGGCCGTGGCCCGGCTGTTGCGGAGACCTCTGGAAGGGAGGATGGGGGATGGAGGGTGTCAGACAGCTGACGGGGGTGTGGGAGCCGTCAGGTGAGACAGGGTGACCAGGCCGGCGGTGGGCCCCCGAGCTGGACGGTGGCTCTGCCTCCCCCGCTGTGGGACTCGGTTTACCCCCTCAGAGCCTCCAGCTCCTCATGTGTAAAAACAGAGCTAGTTCGGGTACCTCATCAGGGTGGGGCGGGGGGAGAGTGTGGCCTCCAGAACTGGGTGGCCTGGGTTCAAATCCTGACTCCGCTGCTGGTGAGCTGTGTGCCTGACACGATCCAGGCCTCAGTTTCCTCATTTGTGCAGCGGGGATGATGGCGGCGATGGAACTACTTCCTGTGGTGGCTGAGAGGGTCGGACGGTGTTGTGAACGGGGACCTCAGGACAGAACCTGCCCGGTGGTAAGCTGCAGGGGACAGTCACCCCTGCTCCCAGGGCTGAACACTGAGCTACGGAAAGCTGCGAGGATCCTGTTCCTGTCGAGTCCAGGAAGCTGGTGCGAGGAGTTAGAGGTGACAAAGTGGCCGGCCTCAGGCGGGAGGAAGGGGGCTGTGCTGGGGGCGGGTGCGAGGGGGGCTCCTGGGGCTGAGGGCGTCTGGCTCTTGGTTCTGGGCAGCTGCCGTGCAGGTGTGAGCTCCTGCAGACGTTCTACCCGCCTGCTGGAGTGGGGCGTGCCTCCTGGACTTCACTAAACACATTAATTTAAAAGCAGCCCCTGCAAAGCCCTTGGCAGAGTCCACCCCACGCCCCGCAAGGGCAGAGGCTGTTTTATTGCCAGTGTTGTTCCTCTTGCTTTCGCTCTCAGTGCCTCCCCTGCCTGGGCAAGGACCGCACGGCCAGTGTCGCCGGGCACCTGAGCTAAAGGCTTGGGTGCCATCCCAGCTCCGCCATCTGCCTGTGTGACCGCAGGTGGGTTACGTCCTCCAGCTCAGGAGAAACTTGCTAAAGGAGATTCCTACGAGGGGCGCCTGGGGGGCGCAGCTGGTTGAGGGTCTGACTCTTGGTTTTGGCTCAGGTCCTGCTCTCGATGGTGAGATGGAGCCTCACGTTGGGACTCTGCACTCTGCGCGGAGTCTGCTTGTCCCTCTGCCTCTGCTCCTCCCCCCTCCCCCCCACCCAAAACAAAATAATGGAGGATCCTAGGTGACACCTACCAGGTCCTATGGTAGCGCCAGCTCACACGGCATCCCCCACGGCCCTGAGCTCCCCAGCTCGCCCATCTGCTTCTGAAACTGGAACTCTGGGGTCTGTGTCTGTGGGTTTGTCACTTCCCCTTCTCTGAGTAAAAACTGTTCCGGAGAATGGTCCTAAGATGCTACAGACTGTTCTTTCTAAGGGCAGGTCGGAAAGGAGGAAAGCCCCAGGACTGGGCAGGGCTTGAGAGCCCCGGAGGGCAGGGGGCGTGGCCCTTGTGGGCGTGGCCCTGCCCCTAGGAAGAGACAGGCGAGATCTGCTGAATGGGGAATATTAAGCAGTCCCGTAAAAGGAGGATGGCAAACACAGCCTTCACCACCTGACCTCCTATGCCGTATCCTGTCCTTCAAAGTAGAATACAAAAGGGTATGTCTAGAGTTAAAACTGAAGTCCTTGTCTCTCTCTGGATATCTTTGTACCAGATCTGCAGGAACACAGAGTCTTTCTCAAACTGAGTTGCGGGGTGGGGACAACAGGCCCCTGTCGTGGCCCTCGGGGTTCGGAGGGAACAGGGCGTCACACAAGGTCAGCCAGCACCCTAGTGGCGGTCCCCTGTTTGCCACCCCCCACCCCCCGGAGCACTGGCAATGTGGTGCCTCGATTCCCGGGATGAGCAGGGCTGGAATTCATCTGCTCAGTGACTGAGCTGTCCCCCCAGGACGGTCAGACAGGTGGGAGTCGTGGGGCCATGATGGAGCCGGAAACAAGACGGGGGAAGCACCCCCGAATGGAAGAGCAATGGAGAGGTGTCGGGTTGGGCTGAGCTGTCTTCCTTGTCTATGTGTGGTCAAGTTTCTCTTACAAGAGCATTTCAAAAAGGAAGTGCATCCTCCTCGCTGACCTTGAAGTAAAGAAATTATTGCAGGCCAGGCTTGAGTGGTGGGAAGGGCCAGCTGTCATGTCAGTATCTCTTAGAGGCTGAGATGCTCCCAGGGGCCATGTCGGGGCGGGGGTGGTTTGTCCATCAGGTGGCGGGAGCACTGGCAGGGGGTCTTGGGGTGAGCCCAGCCCCTTGTGCTCCTGGGCAAGTCTTTCCCC